AAGTAGAAAGCAGCAGGACATGGTTGCTGTTCAGTTTCATCATCTTAGTTTGTCAGATTGAGTAAACTCCTGTAATTGCTTTTTTGGGACATAGTGATCTGGCTCCAGTCGCCATCCCATTATGTTGTATTGCAACTTATTATAAAATCGCTTACAACACTAGAGGCAGATTCTTCACTGAGGACATCTGCAGATAGTGGAAAAGTACAGACGAAAGGTACAAATACACAGTGTGTGATGATAAAGTCAGGGGCTAGTGGCACACTGAGGAATCTAAAACTCGAAAAAACCTAAAACTCAAGGACATTTTCAACGATTTCAGCCGGTATTAAAGCATATTAATACCGTCGCTCAAAAGGAGTCATCGAAGCAACAGGCTCCCATCACTACGCTGCCGAACGGAACGTCTCAAGAGATCCTTTGCTCCTTCGGCTGTCAGACTGTACGTGTACAACAAACCTGACTGAACAACTACAAAAAGGAGTCTTCTGCTGCTGGACAGCTGAATTTCTCCAAAGGGGAATCAATAAAGTGGGGTCCTCAGCTACATGTACAACCTGAGCCTCAGCCTGGAGAAGGTCCGTGTCCTGTGGAAGACCTCCTGTGTGATCCCGGTTCCAAAAACAGCACACGCCAAGGAACCGGCTCACTACAGACCAGTCGCACTGACCTCCCACCTGATGAAGACCATGGAGCGGCTCATCCTCACCCATCTCCGCTCCGTGGTCAGCCCCACCCTGGACCCGCTGCAGTTCGCCTACAGACCCAACATCGGAGTAGAGGACGCCGTCATCTACTTCCTGCAGCGGACGCTCTCCCACCTGGAGCCCGCCGGGAGCGCTGTGAGGGTCATGTTTTTCGACTTCTCCAGTGCTTTCAATACCATCAGGCCGGCACTGCTGCGGGGGAAGATGGAGGACGCGGGAGTGGACAGTAGCCTCACTGCATGGACCATCAACTACCTCTCAGACCGACCACAGTACGTGCGGCTGCGCAGCTGTGAGTCTGAGGTGGTCGTCTGCAGCACTGGGGCCCCTCAGGGCACTGTCCTCTCACCGTTTCTCTTCACCATCTACACCTCAGACTTCACACATGACACACACAGCTGTCACCTGCAGAAGTTCTCCGACGACTCCTCCATCGTGGGCTGTGTGTCTGAGGGGAACGAACTGGAAAATTGGTCGGTTATCAAGGACTTTGTCAACTGGTGTGAGCGCAACCACTTGTGCTTGAACACCAGTAAGACCAAGGAGATGATCATCGACTTCAGGAGAAAACCACTTTCCCACACGCTGCTGAACATCCAGGGGGAGGAAATTGAGCTGGTGGACAGCTTCAAGTACCTGGGTGTTCACATTAACAATAAACTGGACTGGTCCCATAATACAAACGCCCTGCACAAGAAGGGCCAAAGTCGCCTCTTCCTTCTGAGGAGGCTGAGGTCCTTCGGAGTGAGCAGGCCTCTGCTCAGGACTTTTTATGACTCTGTGGTAGCTTCTGCCATTTACTACGCTGCTGTGTGTTGGGCCCCGGGCAGCACAGAGCGGGACAGAAACAGACTGAACAAGCTGGTCAGGAGGGCCAGCTCCACTCTGGGCTGCTCCCTGGACTCTGTGGAGGAGGTGAGGGACAGGAGGGGGCTAGCCAAAGCCACCTCCATCATGAACAATACCTCCCACCCACTGCACAGGACTGTAGAGGAGCTGAGGAGCCCCTTCAGTGGAAGACTGAGGCACCCTCAGTGTAGGAAGGAGCGCTACCGCAGGGCCTTTATCCCCACCGCTGTCAGACTGTAAAACAAGTCACTTTAAATGATCACTGTGTGAAAACCTGCACTACTATTGACACTGTTTCCAATTGACACTTGTCACTTTTGTTGTACATAATTATTGTCACTTTTATTGTACATATATATCCTGCATTTAACATGTTTGCACATTTCCTCCTTTTGCACAATCTGAGTGTCCTATCCATGCCAAATGTGACAATCTCTTATGTGAGATAAATAAAGCACATCTTATCTTATCTTATCTATCCATCTATCTATTAATCTTTGTCTATAACACTTAAAGGTCTTGTAACATATACACTTAACAATTACATTTAAATAAACTATTTTAGTAATCAATTTAAAGCATTCAACATAGGGCTGGGCAATAAATCAAATTTTGGCAATTAATCGGCTTTTGAAAAAAATTGAATTTGTGAAAAGTGTTAAAATTGTGAAATCAAATGAAGGATATTGTGAGAGTTCCAGCAGCACATTAATCATATTTGCAATATCAGCACAGTCTGTACAAGACTTTTATAATACGTATTGAGGGAAACAAATTAGAAATAGTTTTGAAACTTGAATATTGAGCGGAAAGATCAAAAACATATTTTTAAGGGCAAAGTCAGTCTTCGGTGACTTTAATAAAAATCGATTAAAAATCGAAATCCTCCAAAGCAGGACATAAAATCGAGATTTTACTTTTTTGCCATATCGCCCAGACCTAATTCAACATCTCACTTAGGACCAGAGCAGAGAAAATGGTAAGAACCACGCGGCTACACCACCTCTGCTGTTTTGACCCGTCCTGCTCCCCCCAGCAGCTACACCATCTCTGCTGCTGTGACCTAAAGTACTGTTGCAGTTTAATAATATTGTTGGCTATTTTTAGAATCCTCTATTTTTTTGTTTGTATAGATGGAAGCATTTCTGCTGCTGATGGACACCTGAATTTCTCCTACAGGGATCAATAAAGTACCTATCTATCTTAAAGTACATGGAAGTTCTGTGAAATATGATTTTAATACACAAACAGCGATACACTTCACCCACATTACCTGGTATTCAATTCTAGGTATTTTTTTTCTAATTCCCAAAATTGCTAATTTGTCAACAGATTTCAGACTCAAACAATTAGAACACAAGAAATGCTACAATAGAAAACACATTGGTCCATAGGGATAAACAGTGCTGAGTAGTAGCGTAGATAAATTATTCATTGCAATTAGAGGTGCACCAATCAGGAATCGGCTGATTCCTACCACTGCCGATACTAATCACAATGACTTTATTGTATACTATATAAAAGCTGGGGAAGTGGTTGCAGCAGATTCCAGGAACAACCTTGGAAGTCTCGGTCTCGAAATGTGCAATATTAGGTACAGCAAAGAGAGTGCAGAACCTTCAGCTCTCTGGCCTTAGAGGAAAACCGTCTGCGGAGGGTGAACTGAAGGTAGTTGATGTTTTTGCTATTTAAATGACCAACCATTACATTACAATAATGCATTATGGGTCATGCTCAAAGTGCACTTGTTATGTATCCATAGTTAATTGGTCACAAGCTAATATATTAGGAAATAGTATGGAAATAGAAATAAGGTTTTCTGCTTTGTAACCTTATTTATCAAATCAGTTTGAGTTCACTGAGGCTAAGGCTAAAAAAACAACAATCCTTTAAAGCTATAGAGGACATCCGTCAACTTGTTTTTGAAGTGTTGTCAATTGGATGTGCCCAAAAGTCTCACAAAGCAAAGTAGAATTATAAAAAAGTGACAAGATGCGACTACTCTGACTGCTTTGAGTCCTTATCTTAAAGCACCCAGGGCAATCTTGCAGCTAAATCTAACTACTGCTGTTGCTGCTGCTGTCATCTGGAAAGCTTTTCATGCTCAGAGCCACTATGCTCAGGAGACACTTTAAGAGACATCACATGATTCAAACCTATGGCAGAAAAAATACACACTTAAAACTAGGTTGATTTCACACAACTGGAATCAATTCAATTCTACAAAACTGTTGACTCATGCTTGTAATGTTAAAACTTCACAAGATTTCTTCTTTCTGCATAACTTCTTAACGTCCTCATTTCCCAACTGGACAATGTGGAGTTGTTTAGGTGGATAAAACCAGGAATGATCTAAGTGCACTCTATTAACTGGTGCAAGGTCGGGGTCAAGAAAGCAGCGGAACAGCAGCTCCGGCAGCAAATTATTCTTAAAGCAGCAAGGATCACATCATTTATTATGTGGGCACAATCCTTGGGGCTGAAAATAGTGTTGTAGTTTGTCAGTTAAACGTACGTCCTCAAAGATGCTTCTATTGTACTGGGTAACTACTTTGACATCAGTCCTCCCCATCCCAATCTGCATGTGCTACTTTAATATGAGTTAAAGCTGGGCTACTCAACATCCAAATCACAAAATATAACTATGTAATCCAATTCATCTAACTAGTTCCTTGCTGACAAAACAGTGGTTCCATCTGTAGTGTCACATGCAAGTATTTTGACTTCAGTCTCATCTCTCGATCAGCTTTTTCAGACAGAAAAGTGAAAACGAGAGGACCATCCTTACTCAGCCAATCAGCACCCAGCCCATAGAGACATAGCGTTAACCAACGGGCTCTTTCTTACGAGTAACATGATTCATACTAAGATGATGCTGTGGTGAGATTGGTTCACAAGAGTTTACTTTGACATGGTTCTTTCTGTTGGGTCATTCAACGTGTGTTTAAATATATGATAAACATGCCTGGTACCGCAGTTTTAAAAGTGAAAGGTATATTAGGAGGATTTTCCCACATTTTTAGAAAGAACCGCCCTTTCCACTTTTTGAACAAAACTCTCTGGTCTTATTTGACGAGCACGTGTCACCAGAATGATTGACAATTAGGCGGACCAATATTCTTGATGATCCACCCGGAAGTAAAAAATCTACCAATATACCTTGAGTTAGAAGCGTTTAGAAGCTTCCTATGAGAGAATGACTTTGCCCATTTGGACATGCGCCTAGTTTTGAGTAGATTACCACTTCTAAAGGCTAATACACAATCCCCACTTAAAACAATCTACTTAGAAAAAGCAACAACAACAACACAGATTACAGAAACAAATCATGGGCTACAACATCTGCCTAGCTACAAAGATCGCCATAGAGAGTAAACTTCCTTACAGCGCAGATCCACAGAGACAAGAGCAAAGGAAACAGCGCTGCAGCTTTTGCGCACTTACCATGGGTCGAACTCGTGGATGATGCTCTCAAAGCGGATGACAGCAAAAAGCCTGGAGCTGAAACCTGCCAGCCAGGCCAGGAAGAGGATGGTGAATGACAGCAATGACTGCCACCCGGCCGGTTGAGACAGGCCGCCGGAGAGCCCAACTCCAACCGGGGCTTGCCCACTGCTGCACCCACCACTAGCTCTCTCAGCCACGGCCGTGCTGCTCCGTCCATTCCCCGAGTACGAAGGCCCTCCAGAGTTCAGAGAGGACTTGTGTTTGTTGTCAGGAACCGGGTGATGATCCGCCATATTCAATCCTACCGTAGCAAAGCGAGCAGCGAGGCTATCTGGTATCACACACACACACACACACACACAGGCAAGAAAACCTCTCTCCTGTGTCTACAACCACAGTGCAAAGCTCCTCGCCCGCTCCTAAATGTTAGCTGGGATTGCTAACTTTCAACCCGAGCGACCCATCGACCGCAAAATGTGAAAATTATCCCAAGGAATCACATAGCAGCGCGGTTTTGCAGCATTGAGCCTGGAAGTGACACATGCGACTCGATCAGTTCCTCCTTTCCTTCCTTGGAGCTGGATGAAGGGGCGGGACAAGCGCACAACCAGGAAGTACTCTCAGCCTCTCACAGTGGGACAGGTACGGCAGAGTCCAGACGGAGCCAATAGGGAAGCAGCAAAGGCGTGACTGACAGCTAAGACTACCTATCAGATTAGAGATGTGGCCTCGTTGGAGAAAGGCAACAGACTGGTTTGATGGACGGCGCAGGCAGCGTATAGCACGTTAACAACACAGTGGCTTCTTGGGTCACATTCACCAATGGAATACATGAATTTCAACTGGCCTGTAGTGCTTGCAAGCATAGGTTATTGCTTATTACAGATCCGAGTTAAGACCTTCTTAAGATCTTTATCGGGATTAGAATATTATTTTCATTACAATCAACTGCTGTTATTCTATCAAAGGACTTGTAAAACAAATCTATACACACATTGTTATGTGTTGGTGACATAACTTTGGTTAAATTATATGTGTTTTAGACAACTTGAGTTCCAGAAGAAGTTCCAGCTTCTTCTGTCTGCCAGAAGATAAAGTTTGCTGAGATTCAGAACATATCAAAATGCTAACAGCTTATTTCCCCAGTTTGAACAAAGCACGTTAATGATCTTGCACTTGTTATTCCTTTAAACTGCTTTACTTAACTGAAAAGGGTATTACTCTGTAGAATGGCATATATCTGCATTTGGATCTGCGTTTAACTTTCTAGTTTCCCCACTGTGGGGCGGATAAAGGTTCTCTTCTCTAATCTAATTCCATTGACTCATGCAGGCAATGTGAACCTTTTTTTCTAGAAACAACCTTTCCTCTCATTTTGGTCTCACACTGAGCTCCCCTATGTTGTTCATGCTCATTGATCCGCAGAGTTCAATTCTCTTCACAGTGTGCAACTCTCTTCACAGTGTGCAACTTGAGATCATCAAATACATGTCTTTCCAGGAAGACAAAGGTGGTTCTGATATAATCCTATGGAGCAAAAAGAAACTACAAGCCTATAGCACAGTAAATCTGTATCACATCGCCAAAGGGTGGTGGTACAAGGCAAAGTTTGGAGGTTGAAGGAAAGTAGTAATGAGCTTCACCTTTTGCAGTCTGCTCTCCAGAGAAACATCACCTCAAAGTTAATAAGGCCTGCATCGCTGCAAGGCACAGAGACAGACGGCATCTTGAAAAACTCTACCAAGGGATGTACTATATACGCATGTCTTTTTGTCAAGGATTCTCTGTTTTCTATTTTGGTCTTATCTAAATCCCTTTTGACAGAGTATGGAAAGAAGCGTCCATATGAGCTGGCCTCTTTCAAAATAAACTCATTTACATTTGTAAGTAATGTACTGATTCCGTAAATCTATGCCCTCTGAATAGTTAATTGGTTGCAATAAAACAGAATAAACCACTGCAGTCTGTGTTTTACTAAGAACTATAGCAGCAATAAATGAAAAGTAGACAATGACCTTTACCGCTAATGCATCAGACTCTTCGCTCTGTGTGTGGCGGCTTCAAAAGAAAAAACTTGTTTGTTTTTCTTGCTTCTATTCAAGTAAAGCGTCTATAGACTGTATTATTTGTCCTTGGCATCAGACGCAAATGAAACATGAATTCAATTCAAACAGACATTGAGAGCATAGAAAGAAATGATGTTGTGTTACACTTACTTACACTTTCAAATAAATACATTGAAATGTGCACAATAGATAAAAATGATTTGGTGCATTTCTCCCAACACTACTAACAATTGCACAACAGTCAGTGCATTTCCCAGAACAGTTAGCACAAACTGCAAAACCTCATGGATAACCTGCAAAAGTGCATCACTTGCAGTCCTCAAAATGAATAGTTGATTCCTCAAAAGCAAGTCTTCATGTCCATGAAACTTTGTCTCAAAATAGTACGTCCTGACATCACTGTTTGAACAAGAATCAAATGGCTTCATCATGCGTTTTCCAATTCAAAAAGTCAGATCTTTGTGACACTACCTGAACATGTTCACAATACTGTATTTAGAGAGGTAACTGAGCACAAGACACATTATGTATGTACTGTATGTGTGTATGTGTGTATGTGTGTATGTATGTATGTATGTACTGTATGTACTGTATGTATGTATGTGTGTATGTGTGTATGTGTGTATTTGTGTATGTATGTATGTGTGTATGTGTGTATGTGTGTATGTATGTATGTATGTATGTATGTACAATATGTATGAATGTATGTATGTATGTATGTATGCATGTGTGTATGTATGTATGTATGTATGTATGTATGTATGTATGTATGTACAGTATGTATGAATGTATGTATGTATGTATGTATGTATGCATGTGTGTATGTATGTATGTATGTATGTATGTATGTATGTATGTACAGTATGTAAGTACAGTATGTATGTATGTATGTGTGTATGTGTGTATGTGTGTATGTATGTATGTATGTACTGTATGTACTGTATGTATGTATGTGTGTATGTGTGTATGTGTGTATGTGTGTATGTATGTATGTGTGTATGTGTGTATGTGTGTATGTATGTATGTATGTATGTATGTACAATATGTATGAATGTATGTATGTATGTATGTATGCATGTGTGTATGTATGTATGTATGTATGTATGTATGTATGTACAGTATGTATGAATGTATGTATGTATGTATGTATGTATGCATGTGTGTATGTATGTATGTATGTATGTATGTATGTATGTATGTACAGTATGTAAGTACAGTATGTATGTACAGTATGTATGTATGTATGTATGTATGTACAGTATGCATGTGTGTATGTATGTGTGTATGTGTGTATGTGTGTGTATGTATGTATGTATGTACTGTATGTACTGTATGTATGTATGTGTGTATGTGTGTATGTATGTATGTATGTATGTACAGTATGTATGAATGTATGTATGTATGTATGTATGCATGTGTGTATGTATGTATGTATGTATGTATGTATGTATGTATGTATGTATGTATGTATGTATGTATGTATGCATGTGTGTATGTATGTATGTATGTATGTATGTATGTATGTATGTATGCATGTGTGTATGTATGTATGTATGTATGTACAGTATGTATGAATGTATGTATGTATGTATGTATGTATGCATGTGTGTATGTATGTATGTATGTATGTATGTATGTATGTATGTATGTATGTATGTATGTATGTATGTATGTATGTATGTATGTATGTATGTATGTATGTATGTATGTATGTATGTATGTATGTACAGTATGCATGTGTGTATGTATGTGTGTATGTGTGTATGTATGTATGTATGTACAGTATGTATGTACAGTATGCATGTGTGTATGTATGTATGTACAGTATGTATGTATGTATGTATGTACAGTGTGTATGTATGTATGTACAGTATGTATGTGTGTATGTATGTATATACAGTATGTATGTGTGTGTATGTATGTATGTACAGTATGTATGTATGTTTGTATGTGTGTGTGTATGTACAGTATGTGTGTATGTATGTATGTACAGTATGTATGTGTGTGTATGCATGTATGTACAGTATGTATGTGTGTATGTAAGTATGTGTGTATGTATGTATGTACAGTATGTATGTGTGTATGTATGTATGTATGTATGTACAGTATGTATGTGTGTATGTATGTATGTATGTATGTACAGTATGTATGTGTGTGTATGCATGTATGTACAGTATGTATGTGTGTATGTAAGTATGTGTGTATGTATGTATGTACAGTATGTATGTGTGTATGTATGTATGTATGTATGTATGTACAGTATGTATGTGTGTATGTATGTATGTATGTATGTATGTACAGTATGTATGTGTGTATGTATGTATGTATGTATGTATGTATGTATTTCACATATTCACTGCATAATGCTCTTTGCAATTCTACAGCATTGTCCAAAAAGTAACTGTAAGTGTAAATGGCAGCTGAGGTTCAAACCAACATAACTGTGATGCTTCTACTGTACACGTACATCAGTGAATAAATGCAGTATAAAATGTCAGTGGATTTGATGAATAATGACACAGATACAAGCACTTCAGGTAGGTTTTAAAAGCACCTTTTGTATGTTTGCTGTTTAAACAGACCAAAAAAAGAGCACCATCAGAGACCTTTAGGACCATAGAAAAACAGTACCAGGAAATTATAACACCCCAAAATCTTGCACTTCAGTTTTTTTATTGGACTTCCCCTAAGCCTATCTATCAAGCCTAGCTAGATAGAGATAGTTGTATTAGTTTGTGCTGCCCTCTAATGGATTAGCACGATAATTACATCGTTTTTTTTTTTACAGACAGGCTGTTCCCTGTGTTGTCGAAATATAGAAAATAAAATAAATTGGACACACTTGAATTATATTGTCAAAATATTTCCTTCATTTAATTCTGAAATGTCATATATATGATTATATGTCAACTGTTATTTTCTCTTGTCCTTGCTGCCATCTAGTGGAGTACTTTAGATATCACTGCTTAGACACACAAAAGCAAGATATATACAGTATTTTTTGGTTTTCTGCAAATGTCACACTCGTTTCATATATATAGATATTTATAGATACTGATCTGGAACAAAAAACAAACATCTGGAACAATCTTCCTGAAAGTGTGAGACACAATGTTTAAATCCATGTTAAACGCAGTTCTGTTTAGCCGTGCATACAACTGGGGGATTTTACATATATAAATTTTTTCTTTCTGTTTTATGTACTTTGATTGTTTATGATTTTAATG